TTTTCCTTACACCTCCGCCGAAAGTTCGTTCCATCTGACCCGATTTTGAGCTAGAAAAAGCCTCATATCAGTCCTGCCATATGTGCGCAGAACGAAGTGCGCAGATATATATAGTTATATATTCAGCACCGAGAAGCAGCAGTAGTCATACAATATATATATATATATACGGTTAACGGAGTTATAACCTTTATAGTTTATACAACACTGTGTTCTCAACTGACAACACAGAAAATCATTGGATATTTATTTACATAAATTATTGGATATATATATATATATTCGCCTTCGGCTCGGCCGATAATATAGCGCGGTCAGTAATAGCCCCACTTTCTGACCTAGGTACGATATGTACTAATTCAATCAATCAAGAGCGTGCAAGTGGCAACTGTGGCAAGTGCAAGCTGTGCAAGCTGCAAGGTGAGTGTAATATAGCGTCGGCTGGCGGCAGAGGGGAAAACAGCATTGGAGATTGGAGGAAGTTCTGCTGACAGGACTCTTCTGGACATCAGTTTGGATAAACACGTGGTAATTGTTCAATGCGGTGTGCACCAGTGCATCGACTTTTTTCTCTGTAACAATTACTGACGTTCACATTCATATACCTCCTCATCAATATGAAAGACGAGGGTTTGTAAATTTATTGTTTGATTTTTTTATCGCTGTGTCTATTCGCATCGTTTTTCTTTTAAATTCCTAACCTTATCTCCACGTAATTACGTGGATTTGGTGAGAATAGACACAGCGTTTTTTTATAGTTACAAAATATAAAAAAAAAAAATTGGTTAATGACAAGCAGTTAATTTGTTTCAAGGTGAGAATAAAATGTCCCGGAGGAAGTTTCCTGTTGACAAGGCAAAGCTTGAAAGATATGATTTGGGTGGAGGAGTGGACCTTAAAAAAGGGATAAAAAATAAAATTCATAGACAAAGGTTACGGCAAAAGGAAAAGATGATCCAGACTATGGCTGAACAAGCTGCAAGAACTGAAATGTTGCTAACCGAAGACTATGGTTTTTTGGAAAATGATCCAGGAGAAACAACGACTCAATTCAAACAAAATGATATTGTATCTAGTACCGATATTACAAGTGTAGCTAAGCATTTTCAGTTGAACTTGGAATTTGGGCCATATTGGTTAAGGTAACTTTAAAAAATAATCAAGTAATACATATATGTTATGTGGTACGTAATATGTATGTACATTTTTTAAGATATTCTCGCAACGGTAGACACCTTGTGGTTGGTGGTAAAAAGGGACATGTGGCAGCCTTTGACTGGGTCACAAAAAAATTAGCATGTGAAATGAATGTTTTAGAAACTGTTCACGATGTTTGCTGGTTACACATTGAAACAATGTTTGCAGTGGCTCAAAAAGAATGGGTCTATATTTACGATAATCAGGGAATAGAACTTCATTGCTTAAAGAGAATGAATCAAACCACACACTTGGAATTTTTACCCTATCACTTTCTATTAGCTTCCTCGTCAGCACTTGGTGGTCTAACATGGCTGGATGTGTCCATTGGAAAAATAATATCTCGATACAACTCAAAAACAGGAAAAATTGATGTAAGTGAAACAATACGGATTTCAAATTGCTGAATGATAATGAATCATTCTTTTTTTTCTTTAATTATTAACAGGTAATGACGCAAAATCCCAGTAATGCATTACTATGCATTGGTGATTCAAAGGGCGTGGTGTCAATGTGGTCACCCAATTCAGATCAGCCATTGGCCAAAATGCTTTGTCACAATCAAGCAATAAGTGCTTGTGCCGTTCATCCTTATGGTACATACATGGCAACAAGTGCTCCTAATCGTTCACTCAAAGTATGGGACATTAGGCAACTGTCAGGACCAGTTCACAATACAATTTTGCGATCTCCAGCACAACACTTGTCTTACAGTCAACGAGGTTTGCTAGCAATAGGAATGGGCAATGTCGTTGAAGTGTTCAGGTACAACTTATGAGTTCTACACTATGTTAATTAAATACATTTCCAACCAGACGAAATCAACGTAAATTATTTCAGACGTAACTTTTTGCAGTGACAAAGGCAACGAATTCAAAGCTTATACCCGACACAAAACGAACTGGGCCATATCGAATTTACAATTTTGCCCTTACGAGGATGTCCTAGGATTTGGTACTGTCAAAGGATTATCATCGATTTTAGTACCGGGGAGCGGAGAAGCTAACATTGATGCGTTCGAATCTAATCCATATCAGACTAAAAAACAAAGAAAAGAAGCTGAAGTTAAGGCACTTCTTGATAAAATTCCGTCTGATCTCATTAATTTGGACACCACTACGATAGCAGAAATAGATGTGCCCACGCTTAAGGAGAAAGTTGAAGCTAAAAAGAAATTACTTGTAAGTTTATATTCAAGATTGCGCAATGATCGCTATAAACAATTGAGTTAAATAATAATATTTTGATTTTTTCCAGTTCGTAAAGCCAAAGAAGATAGACTTCAAGCCGCGAAGAACGAAAGCTAAGGGAAGAGGTGGTACTGCCAAAGTTGTTAAGTCTAAAAAGGCCCTTAAAGAACAAGCTAAAAGAGTTAGTACAGTTTCAGCATACTTGTGCTTTCAGAAATTTTTCAAACTTTCAATTAAAATTTGTTTTTCTTTGAATTTTAGGAATTTATTCAACAAATGCGCGAGTCCAACGTTTATGTGGATGGATTCACACCATCGGTCAAGGAGCCAAAACCTGTAAAGTCTTTCGGAGTTGCTCTTGACCGATTTGTTCGTAAACCAAAAACAGGATCTATGAAAGAAAAAAGAGAAATGACAAAGGAAAAAGTAGCTATGAAAAAGAAATTACCAATCAACGTTACTTAAACGATTTGTTATGTACAAAAAATACAAAGTAACTTTTCTTCATTAATATTACTGTCATTACAGTTAATATTACTGTCATTACAGTTAATATTACTGTACTCTTATACAAATATAGTTTAATATTATCTGGTAATATTTGAGCACATGTTTGTGACGATATTTATAATCATGAAGCTGTAAAATAGTACACTAATCTGTAAAGAACAGCTTTTTTGAGCTATAAAAATATTTTCTCTATAATTTACCAGATGTTGGATCAAGTCTTGTCTTTGTATTTGCATTTTTTTTAATTTACGTTGATCTATGATTTTTTAAAATTATTTGTCAGTTTCTTTCTATTTATTAAACNATTGAGAATTTTAGAGGCCACTTTTCGCTCAAAAATGAAGACCGCTAGATGGCGCTGATCCAAATAATTATTGCTATTTACAGTAAAGTCACTTTATTAATTATAAACCAGCCGCAAATGATATTATAAATGGACAATGAATTGTTGACATTTTTTATGCTATTTGCGGCAAGTTTACAACCTATATTTTACCTGTAAATCGACCCTGAAAAGTATAAATATTCCACTTATCTTATACGGCTTATAAAATCGACCCTATTTACAAAATTACAATACTTTAGACCTTTTACCATTAACTCACGGAATCACAGCCCTTTTACTTTATAGTTTAAATAAACAGTTAACTTATATAAATAGATACGAAAAGTACTCAGTCTAAAAGAGACAACTGAAGAAAAAAGTCTTAAGAAAGAAGTTCAGTCACACAGGAAGAGTCTCCTAAAAATGGAGCATTGGATCTCACATAATCAGGGAATGTTGGGTTCTTTGTTTATTTATAATACNATGATTAAATAGATATGTAAAGTAATCAGTCGAAAAGAGACAACTGAAGAAAAAAGGCTTAAAAAAGAAGTTCAGTCACACAGGAAGAGTCTCCTAAAAATGGAGCATTGGATCTCACATAATCAGGGAATGTTGGGTTCTTTGTTTATTTATAATACTTAAAATTTACTTCTCTGTAATAAATGTATTTTTTATTTAGTGTGATCCAATGCTCTATTCTTAGGAGACTCTTCGTGTGACTGTGCTTCTTTTTTAGGATTTTTTTTCTTCAGTTATCTCTTTTAGACTGATTAATTCACGTATATATTCTACTGTTTACGATGCTACTTGAGACTTAACTTGTGCGTTATCAAACTTTGTTATTGTAATATTAAAACCTCACAACATGAATGTGTGACATATTTCACAGTAACCTGTATAATATGTACATAAGAATAAAAATATTACAGATTTCAGCGACTCAAAGTTTTTTAATCCAACATGGACCATTACAACATTTTTGAGGATTAATCAAAATGAATTTATTATATAAAACAACTTGTTAACTTTTAATATTCAAAATTATTTAACAGTGTACACACAAGGTCATTTAAATTAAAAAATAAATCAAGGTAGGATGGGGAGAATCTGCTTCTGCAGACTTACAATAAGATTTCAAAGCTGCTTGTGTAATCATCATCAATTATTTATTAAATGTAAAATAAATAAAGATTAACAAATTTTCTTCATTATCCAAATGAACACAAATCCTTAGCATAAAATTGTGAATTTTCACATTCGTTAAATCTGAAACAACTCTGATTAGGTGAGATCCATCGCTCTATTTTTAGGAGACTCTTCCTGTGTGACTAAACTTTAATTTTAAGCCTTTTTTCTTCAGTTGTCTCTTTTGGACTGATTACTTTACGTTTCTATTTAATCATTGTTCAAGATTTCTGTAACACAAATCTTGGTATGTACATATTATATAAGTTAACTGTTTATTTAAACTATAAAGTTAAAGGGCTGTGCTTCCGCGAGTTAATGATAAAAGGTCCAAAGTATTGTAATTTTGTAAATATAGTAGATTTTATAAGC